TGCTTGGTGACTGTTCAATGTTATGATAGACTTTTTAAAAGGTACTTATGACCCCTAGTCAAAATTCCGATGACCACATAATTTGTTTAACAACTGTCACAAAACATGTAGTAAAATTGGGAGACTTTATGTTATGACCTACTTAATGAAGAGCATGACTGTATTTTCCAGCTCAATTATGGTTGCAAGTGGAGGACTACTTATTTCAAATGAACAATTCAGCATGGATTTGACATGAAAGTACTTTAAAAAGTGTCAACTGGAAAAGGAAAGATTGCACTGTTATTTTTTTACTCTTTCTATTAACTGTTCTGGCAAGGGAGATTCCTGTAATAGACAGGACGTTCTTTGATCACTCACATCGTCTATCTCTAGAACTGTTCTTGAGTCTGTGAAGGGGTTGAACTGATTACTTACATTAAATAAACAAGTTGCCCTTACTGTCTTGCAGTTCAGGGACCAGATCATCAATTCTTAGATATTTCCAGGATTTTCTTGGGTTGTTGTGCCCAGATCCTCCCATACAAAAAGTACTCAGATAAAAGACATTCAACCAAAGCCAGAAACACATCAGTCAACAAGTCAGAGATTGGAAGACTGCTGTCACACTATCTTGAGAAAAAAAGTTGCTGCTAGATTGAGTTCTAATATTGGCCAAAGAATCCTGTGTTTTTAGCTGATCTCATATTAATAGTTTCAAAATCTTATCTTAAACTCAAAAATGAGTATTTTGCAAATAACTATTACCACAACAGAAACTCTGCCTTTACTGTAGACATACCTGGTGATGAATCTCCAGATGGAAACAGCTGGTTTTTTTCAGAATCTAAGCATGAGGTTTCTTTTTCAATGAATCCTCTTAGCCTGCACTTGATGTAAGTGCGGTTGAGAAGGAGCATGCAGCTTAACCAAGCTGCAAATTTCTCAGAAAAAATAAAAAAGAACTTGCGCAACATTTCATATCTTGAAACATGTAACAACCAAAACGATATCTGATAGAGAAGCAATCTAATCTGGGCATCAAATTCCTGTAAAGGAATAATGTCTTATGGCAGTACTTGTTAAATGTGACAGCAACTTTCTTGTTATCCAAATGAATCCAAGAATCAATGCAAGTGTCCACCATCTTGCCTGTTTTGTCCCGTTTGCAAATGTTGCAGTGAGTGTACATTTTTTAAAGCAAATGCAACTTTTGTTCCAAATTGGTTCAAGCAAAGTCAAAATGTTTCTGTATTTCCTTCCAAACATTATTCCAACATTTTTGTCCATTTTTGTTCAAAGGGAAGAGAATTTTGATGAACTTGTCATGAGTGGAACATGGAGGCCTTCCACGTCCTTGGTTAGTGGGAGAAAAGGCCTGAATAGGAATGTACTGACTCTCCCTGTAGAATCATCTTCAAGGAGCCTTCTGACTCTCTGTTTTCTCACAGTCCATCCGAAAGCAAGCCAGGAGAATCTCTTCTGATTGAGCTTTCTCAGCCAAGGAAGAATGGGCAGCTCAGGACACTGCCCTGTGATCAAAAAGAAACATAATGGAAGATAATCCCTCCATCATCTTCAACATTAACTGTGGCTGAAAAGCATGAAAGGCATGAATGAATGAATGAATGAAAGAATGAATGAATGAACGAACAAACGAATGAATGAACGAATGAAAGAAAGAAAGAAAGAAAGAAAGAAAGAAAGAAAGAAAGAAAGAAAGAAAGAATAACAGAGTTGGAAAGGACCTTGAAGGTCTTCTATTTAAATCCCCTGCTCAAGCAAGGCATCCTTTACCATTTCAGACAAAAGGTTGCCCAATCTCTTCTTAAAAACCTCCAGTGATGAAGCCCCCTGAACTTCTGAAGGTAAGCCATTCCACCGATTCATTGTTCTAACTGTCAGGAAGTTTCTCCTGAATTCTAGTTTGGTTCTCTCCTTAATTAGTTTCCATCCATTGCTTCTTGTTCTGCCTTCTGACGAATGAATGGATGGATGGATGGATGGATGAATCCATCAATCAATCAATGAAGAAATGAAGAAACATTCTTAGCATAAGGCAGAAAAGCAAAAAAAGAGGGGGATTTCAAAAACATTCTTTCTTTTCAGAAATAAGAGAGTCAAAAGCTATTCGGATGTTTGATTCCAGAGTGCCATCCAAAAATCAGAAGCTCAATGAATAGAAGGGAGTTGGCTAGTCAAGCTTTGAAACGTGGTTGAAATTTTTGAAACATATTTCAAGCGTTCACAGAGACCCCTTGGGGCCACCTGACACTTCCTTCCCAAACAAACAAACGTCACTTTCAGCACTACATGTGACTCATTCTCTACCTTTTCTGCAGCTGAGTTTATTCATTTCACTAAACCAGAATATGGCTATGATTCGTTTACAAAAAAGGATTCATCACTTAGCAACAACATATTTTGTTTTTCAAAAATATGGGGTTTGTTGGCTGGCATACTAAAGCTCAATAAAGCACATCGAGGGTGGAGATAAATCAGATTTATTTATTTATTTATTATTTGATTTGTCAATCGCTTACAAGATAATAGGTATAAATAATAAACATAGTTACGAATACATAAAATAGATACATATAAAAATAAAATAAAAAGAAACAATAGGACAGGGACAGTAGTGACCCCAGCGTGTTTACAGAAAGAACTCTGACCAACTAAAAGAAGGAAAAAAATAAGTACAAAAAATGAAAAGAGGAACACATAACTGAGGTAGAATATCAAGAAATAGCCCAAGCCTGTAAAGATGGGATTAAGAGAGCTAAGACTTTGAATGAAGTAAGACTTTCAACAAATGTCAAAAACAATTTTTAAAATGTTTCTTTCGACACATAAAAAATAAGAAAAAAGGCAAAGATACAATCAATCCGCTAATGGCAGTAGATGGCAAAGAAATAACAGGCAGTCGAGAGGAAGCAGAACTGGTTAAGTCATACTTTGCATCTGTCTTCATGCAAGGGGGGGGGGGGGGGGGGGGGTTGAGGAGTCAAGAGCTGATGTTTCTCCAAGGTTTTACTTTTACCATTATAAGTTTATACCCTTCTTGAAAAGGTCGTGTATACGATGTTAACCATTTGGGCAACACTCGCCTCCTTCATTATAATAAATATGATTTAAAACTATAACATCAGTTGCCCAGCAGATGGTTCATGAGCCTCATAAATATAATTGTGAAAGTACAAGGGGACTTTGGCTCCTTAGAGGTCTTTTAGTCGGACTCTCTCCTCAGGCTCTATACCAGGCGTGTCAAACTCTTATTTCATCAAGGGCCGCGTCAGCTTTGTGTTTGACCTTAAGGGGCCGGGGTGGGTGTGGCCAGCATGATGTTTTTTCAAAATATTCATGAACCGGCAGAGGCATGGTAACAGGTCAGCTAACGAACGGGCAAAGCAACTAAGTCAGCCAATGAGGGCTGTTTGGAAACTGAAACTGGAAGGAGTCTAGGCGTGGCTCTATATTAAGCTCTGCAGCTCTGAAGGTGTGTTAATCTCTGAGTCTTGCCTGCAACTGCTGAATTGAAACTGAAACTCTTCTCTGTTGTTCTCTCATCTGCTTTGTGTTTTTGCCCGTAACTCTCCACCACATTGGAAGAACCTACTATTGTTATTGAGGGTTTGTCTGATCTAATTTTTCCATGAAGCACCTTTATTCAATGAAGGTATGCCAACATTACCCAGGATGAACAGATACTGTTCAGATTTCATAACTACAGAGGTAATAGAATGGGGAGATGACAGATTTAGGGGTTTTTTAAAAAAAATCATTTTGTCAAAAGTAATTGAAGGTGGTTTCATCAAATTCTTTGCAAGAAAGGCTGTATATGATGAAGGATGATAGATACAAGAAGCTAGGAAGAAGAAATGTTTCTACAAATATTTTTTTCTCTAAAGAAGACTACGAGAAGATCTGCTTCTAGGTCAAGGTTTTTTGTCTCTAACTCTCAGCTAGGAAACTACCAACAAACAAATTAATAGAACTTCAAGCATATACCAAAAAAAAAAAAAAAGTATTTGCTGTGTAGATAAAGTTATCTCTGTGGAGATAATGTTGGGATGGATCTGAAAAACATGTGAAAAGGAGCATTCTAAAATTGCCTTTAAATAAACTTCTGCTGAGCATCCTTTGAATAGGAGTTAAATTAACAGAGAAAAGGCTCAGATCTTCACTTAATGGAGAAAAAGAAGAAGGCTAGCTAGCTCTCTTTACAGAATAGCTGTTATCTCCAAATGTTCAGCCAATGCACATTTTCTTAAACTCATACAACTCCTTTGGTTAAAAAGAAGAAGCATGGCTAAATATCATGTAGAAATGCAGATTGAGTCCTCTTACTGGAAATTAGCTCCTTTTCAGAGGAGCAACACAAGACTGTAACCTGACCCCTCATGAGCCAATAAGAGGAAAGAAGGGGATTCTGTTAGGTTTTTGGTGAGAAAAAAACTTGGGATGTCTTTGGTAAGAGAGTCAATGGCAACCTGGGAAAGGAGTTACCTCAGGAATGATAGGAAACTGGGATTTTGCTACTGTATAGCCACCATTGTACTGTCATTTGCATATTTAAAGTGTGTATTCTGTATATGGAAACTCACTTTCTTTTGACACCTTTAATAAAGTGGTGTTTTTATTCCAATCCTGGAATAAAATCCTTTCCGGCACCCATCTCAGCTTGGCTTTTTCTTGGGTTCTCCTTTGGATTTAACCATACCTGGGTGGGGTATGAGTGTCCATCCTTCCCAGCAGTGGTGGGGTTCAAATTTATTTACTACCAGTTCTGTGGGCATGGCTTGGTGGGCATGATGTGTAAAATCTCCACGCAGAAGCGTTATTTGCCGGTTCTCTGAACTACTCAAAATTTCTGCTACCGGTTCTCCAGAACTGGTCAGAACCTGTTGAATATCACCTCTGCTTCCTAGTTTACTAGAGGAAGAGGACTGGTGTAGAGGGAGAAACAAATATCTTGCAAAGAAGGTGGCATCAGCCATTGGACTGAATTTTTCAGTTGATAGTCATCCCAGGTGGAGGTTACCTCAATATTGAAGGACCTCAGAGAAAGAGCTGATCCGACCCTGAGGACGCCTTTTCCTTATTATTATAGTGGCCAAATTTCCTTGGAAAAAAGGACAAATCTGCAAAACTGTTGGCATTGAGAGACACATTTAGAATCTGTTAAAAAAGCAAAAAGGACAGATGCCTTCTCTCTCTTTTTTAATAATATTTTTATTGTACATTTTCCTTTATTACACATCACATTTCCAGTTTTGCAATGTCAGTGTACTGCCTATATCAAGTCCCTTTTAGATACGCATCATGGTATACACCCCAATTATAACCATCATTCACATCGTCATACAGTCTCTTTTAAATGCATAGTATCATAATTATAACTTTTGTTTTCATAGTTTTACCATAACACTTTATACATTTATCACTCTATAAGTTTTAATCTATAGTCACCTACAGTCCAATAGTGATATTGCTTACAGTATATATTCTTAGATATATCTATGTACCTGCATTTATTTCTATTTTGTTAATCTTCTTTTGTTATTAAGTTACTAATCTCTGCACCTGTTATTTAACCATTTGTACAATACGTCCCATGTTGCATAATATTCTGTTTCTTCTTTATCTTTAAGTTCCATCATTAACCTGTCCAATTCTACACGTTCTAATATTTTTTATAACCTTTTCATCTGTAGGGGTGCTTTCATTCTGAGCCCTGGGAAAGAAATAGAAAAAGTCCCAACGTCTGTCCATCCTGACTCACCAAGGTACAAGAAAAGGAGATGAAAAGGAAGACTAGAACTAAATGTTATGGAGATGTGCTGTATGAACAGAATCTTGCAGGTCTTATTTCCTGATCTGGAGAACCTTCAAGGCAGTGGTGGGATTCAAAAATGTTTACTACCAGTTCTGTGGGCGTGGCTTGGTGGGCGTGGCTTGGTGGGCATGGCTTGGTGGGCATAGCAGGGTAAGGATACTATAAAATCTCCATTCTCACCCACTCCAGGGGGAAGGTTACTGCAAAATCCCATTCCCTCCCCACCCAACTAACCTGCTTTCCAGCTCCATTCTCCTGTGCAGGGCAACAAAAGAAGACCCAGCCAATCAGCTGGGACTCAATGGGAGGCAGATGACAGATGGGGGCGGGGCCAGACAGAGGTGGTATTTGCTGCCTCTCTGAACTACTCAAAATTTCCACTACCGGTTCTGCAGAACTGGTCAGAACCTGCTGAATACCACCTCTGCTAATACCACCTCGGCTAACAATGGCAGCCCCCTCAATGCCTTCTAATTTGATTTCATCAGAACAGAACTTAATCAAAGTATTTCAACGGAATGTCTAGAGTATTTTTGTTTCCTGAGCTGTATAGAAAAACCATTGTTGCTTTCACACTCCGTGGTCTCTAGTGTCTGGCATCTCCAGGGAAAAGGTGAAAAGGAGAAATCCAATTTTTCCTTTTCTTGCTTCTCTTTCTTTTACAATGGTACTTCTTAAGGGTAATTTAAACAGGAAATTTAATTGCCCATTAATGGTAATTTAAACATTAAAAAGGTATAATTTTTTCATGCTGAGAAGAACTTCCAAACACTAATGGTCCAAAAATTAATGGCTTTATAAGGAATGTCTTGAAGAATCAATGTCTCATTCTTTTTCAGCCAAGACCATCTCTGTGTTTACACTTTGCTGACAATTCTGGGAGAAGAGGGGATTTCGTTTGAAGCCAGATCAGGGATTACAGTGAAGACATCTTGAAATAGGAGAACTCACTAGAATTGGATATCAAAAGGTAGGTGCTCTTTGAATTTATGCATACATCCTATACCTGGAATTTCTCTATATGATTGATTGATTATGTGCCCTTAAGTTGTTGACAACTCTTAGTAAACACATTGATATTTTCCATGATGTTCTGTCCCTTCTTCTTTGATGCCTATTTTATTTATTTTATTTATATTTATTTGTCAAGCATGTATTAGATAACAGGTATAATTAGAACATGATTATGATTACATGAAATGGGTACGAATAAAAGTGAGACATTAGGACAGGGACAGTAGGCACATTGGTGCGCTTATGCACGCCCCTTACAGACCTCTTAGGAATGGGGTGAGGTCAACAGTAGACAGTCTAAAAGGTTAAAGTTTTGGGGGTTTGGGGAAGAAACCACAGAGCCGGGTAATGCATTCCAGGCATTGACAACTTTGTTGCTGAAGTCCTATTTTCTGCAATTAAGTTTGGAGCATTTTACCTTATGTTTGTATCTATTTTGTGCTTGTGTATTGTTGTGATTGACGCTGAAGTGGTCACTGACAGATAGGACATTGTAGCAGATAATTTTGTGTACTACGCTTATGTCAGACCGAAGGTGGCATAGTTCTTTTTCCCCCACCATTTTTTCCCCATTTCCCATGTCTCCTAATGCAACACCTCCCATTCCGACAATGCTTCTTCAAGAAAAGTTTTAGACTTTACTCGGAGTTCAACACACTACGCTATCTTTTGCTTCCATCCACAACATTTTCCACCCGAAGGCCAACCTATGGCAATCGAAAGCAGCAATTATTTAGGAAACTTGTATAAATTATGCATAGTCAACGTTTTCTTTAATCTCATCATTTTTCTCCAAAACAACAACAATCACAAGGGCATGTCACTTTGATACTTAAGGGTTTTAATATTTATATAATTCAGAAAGTAGAAGGAAAATAGAAGGAGAGGCAGGCAGGAAAAATTGTGATCCATTTTTAGGATCTCCTTGGAAAAGTATTTCCATTATATTCTCACCGACTCAAGGTTGGCTCAGCCTTCCATCCTTCTGGGGTCAGTAAAATGAAGACCCAGATTGTTGATGCAATATGCTGACTCTGTAAACTGCTTAGAGAGGGCTATAAAGCACTGTGAAGCAGCATATAAGTCTAAGTGCTATTGGTATTATATTTAATTAAAGAGAATCACCTCTGAGTCAAGTTCAACTTACGAATGAAGGCAAATATGCTTGTCCCAGGGATATTGTTGCAGGATCAAATTCAACTCCTGGGGACTCTGTGGATTTGGCAACAGGATAAAATAGTTTGCCATTGCCTTCTTTCTGGTGTTTTTCAGTTTCTCAGCATAATTCACAGACTGGATTTCTTGTTGGTTATCCATTCAGATATTCCAACTCTGCTGAGTTCTTGGATACCAGCCAACATTGGCTAAATGTGATTCATTTATTAGACATTTTACATTTGCTAGAACAGATTTTTGTTTCAATAGCATCCAATTACCTGATAGATCCTTTGTTCAATGCAGCAGGGAAACTGATTTCATCTCTGTCTCTCTCTCTTTTTTTCTCTTATGCCAGCAATGCATAAATCATGACAAAAATAGTAGACCAATAGCCCAAACCACAGACCTAACTTCTTATCCATACCCTCTATGAACCTGGGATCAGAACTGACCCATGTGGATAATGAATTCCCAGATGTAACCATATCAGAATCAGATTATTATTATTGTATAATCTTCATTATTAATATATTCATTTTCATAATTTCCAATTTCGGCATGTAGGGATAGGATGATTATCTGGCTCCTGGGCTTTAGCAGCAGAATCTCTCCTTTCACTGTCTTTGTCTTGAAGTTATCAATAGCTGATCTTGAGGTTCTCCTAACCAGGATAGTCTGGTTCTTTCCCTTAGTTTTGATCGAAGAACCTGTTTTCCTGGCAATTTCCAGGTTTTCTAGCTTATGTACATGGCTAGTCAATTTCTACTGACTGCCATAAGCTTGAATCAGTGTTTAGGTCTCCTCCTCCTGGAATGGCATTGTTCATATCAGCCAGGACATTTCTCCATAATTATGTATGCTCTTCTGTGAATCATTTCCTTCTTGTTCTTGGCAATACACATTTTACATTTCAGTTCTGAGTGCAGTGAAAATTCACTTACAGCATTATACCTCTTCCATGTGCCTGTGTTGTCTTCCCTTCCATTCCGACAATTGTCTTTTTGGTTCTTTTTGTTAAAGGTTGCAGTGAAATGGATCAATTTTCCAAGCACACTCTCTTAATAGTTATCCTGATCACTTTTATCATCTCCCTCCTATTTGCTCTTCCTTTCACTTTCATTTCCATGGTTGCATCATTTGAAGATATCCCAATCTATATAGAACTGAGCAGTTTAGTGACTTGTCTGAATAGCAGTGTGAATCCAATAATGTACTTTTGGGGAGAAAAAAAGAGAAGTCAACCTAGAGAGAACATCAAAGTTACATTTTGGAGGATTTTCCAGGAAGGAGAAGACAATACAAAAGACATGGAGATAGAATTTCACTTTCAAAGTCTGCTGTAATACTTCCACAATTTTATGATTGGGATTAACTTGATGGCCCACCACTAACTGGGTAATACCCTTTCAAAAATGTGTATGGGACAGTAAGGATCTAAAATATGGCTACAGTTCAAATTTGGATAGGAGTATCAAAAAGGCAGTCTAATGTTTAATGCCTTTTTGGAAAAAAATGTAAGATTTTATTAGTGAAATATACCAAATAAAAAAAGTTATATCAGTAATTGTATAGTGAAAAAACCCATATAAGTAACTTTGATTGAAGCAGAGGAAAACAAAAGAAACTAAAGGAGTTATGAAAAAGGAAAAATTAAGACCGTATAATATTTGCAAAAGATTGGTTTAATTCTTAAAGTTATGATTAAATTTAGACCCTACAGAAACAAGTGGTTCCATCTTCTCAATTGTAGAATAGAAAGATATGAGGAGTCCTTTGTGCTTTCTGAGATTGATTGTTTTCCTAAAGATGTTTCATTACCCAAACTTGTTCTGTGACTCAGTCTTTGTCAAACTTAATAAAACACAAACTGAATTTAAAAGTAAAACCTATTTTAATGTGATGCTGGGAATTACCTACATTCCCAGCCAAAACTAATTATACACAGTTCCTCCAGATAAGAGCATGCTTCTCAGTGCTGTAGAATGCTTGCCAACAAACAGACATCCAATTAAGGCTTAACATAAACCTACCCAAAACCCTAGAAAAAACCGACCAGAGTACAGAGCTTCATGAAGGACTCGGAGATTACTGAACTGCTCTGCTTCCTGCAAAGCTCTTCGTCATTGAGGACTGACTTTTATCCCTTATGGGAGGGGCAATCACCACCCAGCCTTACTCCTGAGTCGTCCCTGCTGCTTCAGCTACTCTCTCCTTCTAGCAGCTCTGCGCACAGATGCACTGGGAACAGGCTCCCCGAGGTCCTCTGCTTTGTTGCTGCCAGGCTCTGAAAGCTCCGAAAGCAGCACCCCACTCTCAGATGGTCCTGGCCCCATCCCTGCATCAGATGCAGGACCCTCATCCAAGTCCTTGCCAGACTCCCTGACTGGTTCCCTTTCGTCCTCACTGTCCGATACCTCTGCTGTCCGCACCAGCTGCCGGCAAATCACAACAAAACTAGGTAACATCATCAGTACTGGTAAGGAGTGGGGTTTGCGCTCAGTTTATAATCTAGTGGCTTGCCCTGTTAGTGTTGGAGGAGGTGGTCTTCAAAGGTCTTTGACTGGGCTGTTTATTATTGACTTCTTTGGCAGTTCCTTGATTGGGCATTGTTTATTTGCTGATGTTAATACTGGAATTAATCTACGCTCACCTGGGTGCTGATTGCTGGTGGAGAGGTGCTTAAGTCTTTTTGGTTTGCTGATTGACTCTTTTCCATAGTTTATAGATATTTATGTCTATGTCTCTTATCTTAGGGAACAAAATGATGTAGGCACCTCTCCACCAGCAATATTTTTGAACAACATTTTTTTAATTGCAAGCTGCCCAGAGTGTTTTGTGGAGATGGGCAGCTATAGAAATTGAATAAGTACTGGCATTTACTGCCAGCAAGATTAGCGAAAATGTATCCTAATGGATCAGTGGCACGCTGGAGGTGCAAACATAAACAAGGAACATTTTTTTCACATGTGGTGGAAGTGCCAAAAGGCAAAGAAGTACTGGATGATGATAAAGAAATGGCTTGAGGAGATTATTAAGCAAAAAATTGAGTGGAAACTGGAATTATTCTTATTAGGTATAATAAAGGACAATTTAAGTTTAAAAAAAATCAATATATCATACTCCATATAATGACGGCGGCCAGAATTGTTTGCACACAACATTGGAAACAGACCAATATCCCTACAGAAGATATGGTGATAAAAACAGTGCTTGAATATACAGAGATGGATAAATTAATGATGGAGTTAAAATATAAGGAGGAAACAGAATATTATAAGATTTGGAACATATGGTATGAGTGGCTAGAGGAGAAAGGTAAAGAATATGTATAAAAATTATTTAAGAGCTTCAGGAAATGTATATATACGAAATTATAAAAAGGTAAATATAAATGTAAAAATATTCAAGAAATATACCAGGAATTGAAAATGAAAACGAAAGTATTGCAATGTAAATAGGAAGGAAGCTGATGCTGAAGCGCTCTCAAAAATGGAAATGTGGTATAAATGTTTGAAAAATGTATAATAAAGATATTTTTTTTTTAAAAAAATTGAATTAGTAAGTAAGTAAATGCATTGTTGCATAGGTAAAGATGCCATAACTCAACTTGCTACCTTCATAAGTGCCCCGCTGGATTCAACAGATTTTATCTTAATCTACTAAATTGTTTCTAAAATTGGCCAAGCAGGTGTTTCTAGGGTACATGGAAAGATAGGTCTGAGATGTATCCCTCTCGCTTGCTGTTGGTATCTTCTTGACTTATAATCCTTGAGAGACATGCCCACTTTCCTGTTGCAATGCCTGATTTTCTATTTCTCAACCATGTCATCATGCCCCCACTTGACTTTCTTCTTCTATCTGATAATGGCCCCTACCATGTTTCTTTCCTTCTGTTATTTTTATTTATTTTTTTTATTTATTTATTTTGATTTGCCAATTGTTTACAAGATAATAAGTATAAGTGTATACATAGTTGTGAATACATGAAATGGGTACATATAAGAAAAATAAAAGAATAAGAGAAACAATAGGACAGGGACGGTAGGCACGATGGTGCGCTTATGCACGCCCCCTACAGGCCTCTTAGGAAAGGGGTGAGGTCAATAGTAGACAGTCTAAGGTTAAAGTTTTGGGGGTTTGGGGAAGAAACTACAGAGTCGGGTAGAGTATTCCAGACATTGACCACTCTATTGCTGAAGTCGTATTTCCTGCAATCAAGTTTGGTGCGGTTTACTTTGAGTTTGTATCTATTGTGTGCTCTTGTGTTGTTATGGTTGAAGCTGAAGTATTCATTGACAGGTAGGACATTGCAATGTATGATTTTATATACCATGCTTAAGTCAGACCGAAGACGGCGTAATTCAAGGTTTTCTAGTTCTAGAATTTCAAGTCTGGTGGCATAAGGTATTCTACAACGAGTAGAAGAGTGGAGAACTCTTCTTGTGAAATATTTCTGGACTTTCTCAATTGTGCTAATATCAGGAATGCATCATACACACAACACATGGCTTGTTTTTCTCAAGACCTTCATCACTCTGGGTGCTCCATCAATGGAGGTTTTTAAAGAAGAGATTGGAGAACCATTTGTCTGAAATGGTATACGGTGACCTGCTTGAGCAGTGGGTTTGACTAGAAGATCTCCAAGGTTCCTTCCAGCTCTCTTATTCTGAATAACTCTGGGGTACCCTAAAGTCATGCATTCTAAAAAAAAAAAATCATAATATTGAGAAGAGCTCAGAAAGTATAGAAAGAAATGATGATGCATTAAGAGAAGGCTCATATATTTTCTGGTGAATTTTCCTTCAGAAAATTTAAGAATCTTAAGCAATTTTAGAAACCAGCAGAGCAGTCTGCTTCATTTCATTTTTCTTTTCATTTTCAGGAAAAAAAATGAAATATTTCCCAAATAAAAATGAATGTCACATCCAGATTAGGCTGCTTTTCAGTGAGGTATTTTTTTTTTAGGTTGTTCCTTTTTCTGTGTTATGATAACATGTTTACACACTTTTTTCAGAATATAGTTGTGCTAATACTTTAACTTGGAAAAGTCAGAGAAGAATATTAAGAGTGTTTTCTGTTTTTCTACTCTAGGTTTTGCAGCTTGGGCCACCTAGTTCTCTACTCCAGTTGTAGCAGCATCAGTTGCGGACCAAGGAGAATGTCTTCCTTAGATTATGAAAGAGATCCACTTTTCTCCTCTGGAGATTCCTCCGGTGATTACCACGAGGTATGTCAGCAATAAAGGTAGCATTTGAATGGTGGTAATTGTTATTTGCAAAGTACATTTTCTTTTTTACTTCATGAAAGGACTTGTGGACCATTAGGATGTTATCAGCCAATATCATAGAATCCTACAGCCAAATATTTGAATGTGCAGAGATGAATAGATTAACACTAGTAATTAAAGAAAAAGAAGAAACTGAATATTATAAGATATGGGATATAGTTTACCAATGGTGGGAAAATAAAACAAGCTAAAGTTGAGCAGATGAATACATAGAGAAATAAGTGAATATTGATATAGATATGATAAATGTAAGAGATAATGGCTTATAAAGGAAATGTGATTATTGTCATATTGGTAAGAAAAGCACTAAAACATAAATTTTAGCACAAGATATATGTACCTAGTCGACACACTGTTTAAAGGAAAAATGGATTTATGGTAAATATAAAATAAAAAACTTTTGGTAAAAAGAGATTCCTACAGCCAATTGAAAATCTTACTACCACTTCTGCCTTATGAATGGATGGCGGAAGATAACTAGATAGACAGACAGCTAGCTAGTTAGGTGTGTGTGTGTGTGTGTGTGTGTGTGTGTGTGTGTGTGTGAGAGAGAGAGAGAGAGAGAGAGAGAGAGAGAGAGAGAGAGAGAGAGAGAGATTTTCAAGGCAGTGAATATATCTAATAGACTTGGTTCCTATTTTCCCACCACAACAATCAGGAGGCAAAAAATCTGTCTCACAAATACTGTTAGAATATCCCTTATGTACACAATGGCAATCAAAATTAAACCTTCCAATTGTTCATAGTTCTAACTGTTTTTGTAAGAGGTGACCATGAATACCTCATCTGTGGTCACTTCTCAGAAGTCTTCTAAGAATCCTGCATAATTCTCATCAAGAGCTGCAGCTCATATTATTGTTAGCTGCTAACTTTTAAAAGATTTTCTCACAATTATTATTATTTAAATCCTTTTCCATACTGATTAGATGAATGTTTTTTTTTTTTAATTTATGTTTGATGTTGGGCCATAAATACATTTTAATTGTTTGATCGATAGAAAGGCTTTAAGTGGATGGGACAAAAGTAGGGACTCTGAAACAGGATTCTACTTATGAATCGTTTTGATTATCAGAAGTCAAGCCCAGTTTTATTTATTCCGATAATTGTATTTCCTCTTAAATTGCAGAGCTCTGGATTGTCCACCTTAATCACCGATATGAATTTCTACAACAAAACAAACAAGACTTTTGGTACAATGGTGCAACTATTTAATCTTTTAATAAGTAGGAACAGTATGTGAACTATATTGAAAATAATTAAGTGGCTGCATTCACAAAATGGCTCCTGAAGGGAATAAGTCATCTATTAAATAGCCTTATGGAGAATATACAAATATTTACACATTGATTGTTTTTGGGTGGGGCTGAAGACATAAAGCCAACCTCCTTATCTTTGAAGAGAACTTTAAAAAAAAATGTTACTGGAGGCCCATATGCGTTTGTGAAGATGAAGAAAAAGCAAGGATGGGTAGAATAGCTTCATTCCATACATACACAGACACATATATATTCCAGGTTCTCCTGTTTTGTGAAGCTCTTGTGTCCTAGCCTGATCAGAGTCAGGTTTCTAGGAGGAGGAGTTGGGTCTGGGACCGTCCAACAGAAATAGCATGTCTTCCATTCTCTTTGGAAAGGCCAGAGGCCTTGGACGATGCTGTTCCAAAACATTCAGGTATTGGGAAAGGTGGTCGACCAGATGGAGAGCTGCCTGCCCTCACAGATGCAGGGAAGAATTACTAAATGATTGGTAGTATCTTAATGACTACCTACCTGCATGGACAAAGTTTCTAAAACAAATTAGCATTTTTGCTGCATGATGTTATTGGCCATAATCATGACTTAATGATAATTTTGTCCTTAGATAAAGAAATATTTCCCACCACAATGACATATGCGTTACCGCTAAATATTTGGCCTGAAGTCAAGTAAGTATATTATGATACTAAATAAAGTATTTTCTTTGCAGGAATAAAGGAAGCCGTCCAATTGTTACATAATATTCCAAAAGGAAAACTGCAGTTCTGTTCTGCCCATTGTGACTATTGAAGCAGGTTCCCTTGTGAAAGATGAAAGTTCTCTTTGATCTTAACCCACGTTGGGTGAATGTCCAGACACCACAGATTCCCCAGAGAGCCACTGGGGGTTTTGGATTCAGTACAGTGGGTAAATAAAGGCAATGTTCCCTGAAGAGCAGCTCATCCCCATTTGAGAAATTTGAGGGGTATTGAGGGGACTTCATAATGAAAAAAATGTTGATATTCTGAAGGAAAGATGGGATAGAAATAAAACAAGTAAAATATTGTGAGAGTGCCATAGTTATGATAATATTAGACTCTGCCCTCAGCCAAAATGCCTGACTATGGGTGTTGGTGGGAATTCCCCTGAAATTCATTTAAAGTGGAAGAGTGAAAGGATGAGAAAATTTGGGGTTTGAGTGTATCAATTCTCCAACCAAATGAGAAACATTGATTTTAGAGCTGCAGTCAAAAAGATGGTCAAAAAGCAGACATATGTTTATATGTATAAGTAAAAAAAAGTACGTGTGTGTGTAACTGTGTCTGTCTGTGTCTGAATTCATGTATGTCCTGTATTTCTGCAATAATGACCGATTATCTTTGGTTTCTTTCTATTAGCAGGATGGTTTATGTTACTTGGAGTGAATATAGACCGGTCAACATTTTTTTCAATGATACTAAAATTGTGGAAATTGCTTCAAATATGTCCAAAATATCAGAAATTTTTTCTTCCCCATATGACCAACCGTTTGATAATTTAACACAAAACCTTCTCTATGGATTTTTTGCCATTATTTGTATTTTGGGTCTGGTGGGAAATGGAATGACAATTTATCTCCTGGCCTATTGCATTAAGAGGAATTCTTTCACCACTTTCATCCTGAATCTCTCAATCGCTGATTTTGGAGTCCTCACCTCCCTCATTATGGCAGACATATTTGTGACAGTGTCAACTCTGGGTAAAAGAAATGACATTGTCCAAACCTTTTTCTACTTATTTTTTGAGCTCTTCTTCTTCACCTATTCTGCCAGCCAGTTTCTTCTGACAGCCATCAGCCTGGACAGATGTGTGGCTGTCCTCTTCCCTCTCTGGCATCGCTGCCATCGTCCTCCATATTTGCCTATCCTTGTTTGTGTCCTCATCTGGATCCTCTCCTTCCTGCTCTCTGTGGTGCACTTCATTCTCCACCAAACCAGGGCCTTTGGAAGTTCACCTTTGTTTTACCAGCTGATTGTGAATGGTTTACTTTGTACACCTCTCATGGTTGTGTCCACTGTGACTCTCTTGATTCATATGAGATCTAAACTGAAACTCAGTCAAAGGAAGCTGCTCAATGCCTTACTGCTGTCTCTCCTCTTCTTCCTCCTTTTTTCTCTCCCAATGGATGTCTTTTATGTCATTGAATATTTTGGTTCCCCTAATCTCCTCCTCATGACCATTGGGATAGAATGTGCCGCTCTCAACAGCAGCATCAACCCTTTCCTTTATTTCTTAGTGGGGAGGAAGAAGAGAGGAAAGGATCAGCCCAGAGCATCTTTGAAGCTTGCTCTGCAAAGAGTTTTCGATGAGGAACAGAACAGCGTAGAAGAGCAGCAAACTACAGAGGAAAACATATTGTAAAGTGTCCCTAATATTGTACAATCATTTTAAATCCATAAATAATTTGTGGGTTCAGTAAGAAAACCTACGTGATTTACTGAACAAGCCGAACACAAAACAGGAAATATTTATCAATGTATAATTCTCAAAGTGATGATGTTTGTATATTAAATGTTTTACTTATATAATTCCTTTTTTAATTTCCTAATAAGAACGGTTAGAAATAATTCTTACTGCATGAGATTTTTAAAATGCATAACATTTATCATGTTATTTATCTTTATGTGTTACATATTTTCCAAGGTTTTGTCCCTTATAAACTTGATAGAATATATGGCTTGACTAAAAACATGTAAATTTATATGTGTGTATATGCATAATGAAAATAAAGAGAAGGGGAAAAAAAACTACAGGATATACTTCCTGAAATAAAATGTGACATTTATGATCCTCACAAATTTCAGACATAATACTCACTTATGTTAATACCAGTTCATTATTAATAATTTTCATTTGTTTTTAACTATTTTTTAAAACTATTTTTAAAAACTATTCTTTAAAGATATGTAGGTTCTATGATGGTAAGCTTTCCTCCCTGCCAATATTTTATGCACATTTCAAGCAGGAGACAAAGGTTTGTCTTCTTAAAAACCTCCAGTGATGAAGTACTATCATCATCATCATCATCATGCATTACAGAGGTTCATGGAAGCACAGTCTAAATATGGAATGGAGCAGATGAATCTTAAGGTGGGAAAAAGAAGAAACAGCATGAAATAAAAAGGAAATGCATCAAATTTCTATAAAACCTACAGAGGTAACATTCCTCTCTAGCAAGCAGTTGATATTTCTGCCTTTTTTATTGTTTGCTAATCATTTTGTTTCTTCTTTCTGCTTCTTCCTCTGACTTCTTCCATACAAAATCAAAAGAAGACACCTCAATAGGTTTGAAAGTGGCCGCTATTCACATATCTTTCATTAAGATATAGGCTGGTAACCTGAAGGAAAAGATTTCTCCTTGGTGATCTTCACTACATACTTGGAAAGGAATGTTTGATTGTTTTCTTTTTCTGTGTGTACGAAAGTTGAAATTCAAAGAGGATCAGAAGCTTCCGAGCACACAGGCCCAGGGGTGGGATGCTACCGGTTTGCACTGGTTAAGACAAGCCGGTTGTTAATTTTATGGCCAGTTCAGAGAAATGGCAAATCCCACCCCTGGCTGGCCCGGCCAACCCCACCCTGACTAGGCCATGCCCACCCAGCAACTGGGCAGAGACCACTTGTTAATTTTTTTGAAGCCCACCCCTGATTATGTCCCCATGAACTCCTAGAGCAAAATAGATGTCATAGATATGATAAGGAAGGTATTTAATTTTTGAGTACACCTTTTCTACATATCCAGGTAAAATACATGGGAAAATCCCAGTGGAGGGAAAAACCCACTTAGGGTTAGGATTAGGTCCCCATGAAGTCAAAGAGGAAAATGGATGTCACCAATGAATTTGCAGTGCATAGGTATGGCTAGGAAGGTGCTGACTTTTTCAGTCCATCTTTTTTTTTTTTTTTACCTTTCCAGGTGTTGCAGGAAATCCTGCTTCCAATTCAGGACACAAGACCACGAAGGGTTGGAGAATACAGGTTTATTTGCACAAAGGTTCAGAAATTTCTGAACCTGGGGCTATTCCGGAGGTTTGACTTTTATTGAGCTTATGACCCTAACTTTGCTCAGGGCGTTTCTCTTATTTAGCTGAGTACGCTATATTATAATAAGAAAAGAAGAAGTTTCATAACAAAGAAGATAAAAGTTTCCATAACTGTTTACCTTAATACAGGGGTCTCCAACCTTGGCCCCTTTAAGCCTGGAGGACTTCAACTCCCAGAATTCACCAGGCAGCAAAGCTAGTTGGGGAAGTCTGGGAGTTGAAGTCCTCCAGGTTTAAAGGGGCCAAGGTGGGAGACCTCTGCCTTAATACATTCACCATATATGGTATTATCTTACATCATCTGTTACCATCAGTTGCCACCCTTTACAGTACATTTGTTATCAGTAATATCTAGTTCATAGGTCATTATATTGATGTCCAGCAGATTCTATATATTTGAGTAAAGCTTGCAACATATAAATTGGGTAATAGCTAAGAGCTACATAAGCTTAAGTAAGTCCTGTAAATTGAAATAATACTTTTCTAAATACTTTCTCCTACTGCTTCACGGGTAAAATACATGAGAAAATCCCATTGGAAGGAAAACCCACCTAGGGTTAGGTCCCCATGAACTCAAAGAGAAAAATGGATGTTGCCAATGAATTTTCAGCACATAGGTATTCTGACCCAGACTTCATAAATCACAATTAATCATGAACTTGTGTTAAAAGCAAAACCTATTTTATTGCAACACTGAGAATTGCTTTCATATCCAGCCGGAACTAATCTTAAACAGTCCCCCCAAGATAAGCACACACCATTCAGTTCTGTGGAATGCTGCCAAAAACAGAAGTATCCCATTAACTATAAAAGAAACCCACCAAAGTACAAGTAAAAACCAACCAAAGTACACAGAGCTTCTATGATGACCTGGAACCAATCGAACTACTTTGCTTCCTGCAAACGTCTTATCATTTAGGTCTGACTTTTATCCCTTATGGGAGTGGCAATCACCTCCCAGTCTTACTCCCAAGTCACCCCTTTTGTTTCAGCTGCTCTTGCCTTCTAGCAGCTCTGTGCACACGTGCACTGGGAACAGGCTCCCATGGGTCCTCTGCCTCGCTGCTGCCAGACTCCGAAGGCTCCAAAGGCAGCACCCCACTCCCAGATGGTCCTGCTCCCATCTCTGCATCGGATGCAGGACCTTCATCCAAGTCCTCTCCAGACTCCATGAGTGGTCCCCTTTCTTCCTCACTGTCCGATTCTGCTGCTGTCTGCACCAGCTGCCGGCGAACAACAATAATAGTTATGTTTAGGAGGGTGCTGACATTTTCAGTCGACCTTTTCCACTTTTCCAGAAAAAATATGTGGGAAAATCCCAACGGAAGGAAAACCCACCTAGGGTTAGGGTTAGGTCCCCATGAACTCAAAGAGGAAAATGGATGTTGTCAATGAATTTGCAGTGCATAGGTATGGTTGGGAGGGTGCTGACTTTTTTAGTCCAGCTTTTATACTTTTCCAGTTAAAATACATGGGAAAATCCCATTGTAGGGAAAACCCACTTAGGGTTGGGGTTTAATCCCCAATCCTGAACACAATATATTAGGAAATTCCTTCAACTGTTATGGATGGCAACATCTTAAAAGAAAGAAAATTTGTAAAGGAATAAGAAAATGACAATGTGTTATTCTTCCTGGATATCCTCATTAGCAGAGGCAATGATGGCAAAATAAAAACACAAGTGTATCATAAAACTACCCACACCAACCAAGTGCTGCACTACCAAAGTAACAATGCAACCTCCCACAAGAGATGCTTCATAAGAACATTATTTAGATCAGCATAACCACACTGCAGCAACCCTGAACACCAGGAAAAGGAAACGGATCTTACATACAACATCTTCCAACAAAATGGATAGCCTGTCATCCTTATTCCAAAAGTGCCTGACCACATAAAACCTGCTATAGCACAGCCAACACAAGCTGTGAAAAGGATGGCACTTGCATACATCAAAAACATCTCAGAGAACACGAACACATTATTACAACCACTTGATATAATCATAGCACACAAACCCACTAAAGCCTTCCAAAACATCCAAAACAAACCAAAACACCCAATACCCCCTGAAGGGGGGGGAGAAACCAGAATGTCAAGATTCCGACTGACAAACCTAACTCAGAAAGCACTGATGAGATGATCCAATTTCTTTAATGCAAAGCTTTATTTTGTACATAATTTTGGCACAGTATGAAAACAATACCAACTCTGGTTAGTTCTTGGGCAATTTGATATAATTAAATATAGAATCCTCTCTCCTTGCGTTAGTGCAGGTCATATTGTCCAATTAGGTGTCCAAGTGTTGTTATGGAAAAACATCCATGCCTCTGGCCAACAACTGTTGGAGTGTCCTTGGTTCCTTGTTATAGTCTTCAATGCTCATTCCAATCTCTCCCTTCCTTATTCCTTCATCTGTTGGTGAGCTGTGAAGCAGTAAAATTGAAAACAGCCTGAATATGCTTCAAAGTGTCAACTCATGAAATATTTCTCTGGTCTTTTAGAGTTGCCAGCAGAAATGGAGGGGAGAGCAGTGCAGCAGCTTGCAAAACTGAAGCTGCATTCCATAAATGTTTTCAAAGATAGTTTCCAGGTCACCGAAGTTTCTGCTGCACAAAATTCTAACTGGAGAGCATGATTGATGGCTCTTGGCTATGGATGTGTCCCATTGGAGAATATGAATTATGATACACCCAGGGGGGTGGGGGAAAACTAGGGTCAAGGGTGACAATGAATGATGTGTCTCAGAGTTGGCTAGCTGTCAGGGCTTTGGCAGTTACCCCCCATTTAAATCATGAGTCTCTTGCCAGATTTTCAAAGCTTAAAGAAGATTTATTAAGAGTAAACATGCCTGATCAACCTAACCATGATTCTAAGACTGGGGATCAGAGTGAAAAAGCTCGCTCACCCAGATAGCACCAACATGTTTACTCCTAATGAATCTTCTTTAAGCTTTGAAAATCCGGCTAGAGACTCATGATTTAAATGGGGGTAACTACTGGAGCCCTGACACAAAGCTTGACACAGGATACGTGTAAAACATACAATGAAAAAGAAGACTAGAGCTAAACTTTATGGAGACATGCTATATGAACCAAATCTTGCAAGTCTGCTTCCTGATCTGGGAAAACCTTCAAGGCAGGGGTTGGATTCTGCCAGTTTGGACTGGTTTAGGCGAACCCCTAGCTCCGAAGATCAGCTGGGAGTGAACCAGTTCTCTCCAATGATCATGTGAGCCCATCTGCCCATTCCTGTGCTGTTTTGATCTTTATTGTCTCAGCTGATCAGTGTTGAAGAATGAATTGCCACTCTTCAGTTGTCTTAGTCCCCCAGAGTAATAAAGCAGGTAAGGATTTTTGCATCGCTGTTCACACACACGCAGGCGCAGGCACGATCACCAAACCGGTTGTTATACGGGCAGCATCCCACCCCTGCTTCAAGGGCTTACAATGACAGCCCCCTCAATTCCTTCTAATTTAATTTCATCAGAATAGAACTTAATCAAAACATTTCAGCGGGGGAACTTCCGGTTTGGGCTTTTTGGCAATGGACCGGAATCTGCAATCATGCGTGGTTTCGATCCGTGCTCACCGCTGGAGCGCCCCAAGCTGCTTGGATTCGGGGCTGAAGCCACCCCGTAAAGGTGGTGAAGAAGGGGGAGACTGCCAGTGGGGTTGAGGAGATCTGCATCTCCTCAGCTGGCCATTACTCCCTTTCCCAAA